TTGGCTCACCCTCTCTGGCACCTCTTCCACACTGCAGCAATAAAGCAGTTTGACACTTTTGCCATCACTTAGCCTACAGAATCATGGGATTTGTAGTTTGGAGAGGTCTTCAGCCTGGTCTCAGATCTACAAATCAAACTACAAATCCCAGGATTCTGTAGGACAGAGTCAAGGCAGTTAAAGTGATGTCAAATCACTTTATTTCTAGTGTGGATACACTCCATGTCTTGCATTGGGCAGGTTTTGCCCCACGAGCTGTTCAGCTTTCACCTCTGGTAAACACTTCTTCTTGTGCCTTCTCAAAATGGCTCAATATCATTACTTTGCTAAGGCATAAAGTGTTGATGCTAGAATGCTTATTGCTGTTATATCACACTGACTTTATTAAACAGGGAGATTGCACATTGACAGTACCTCAGGTATGCAGTGCTTCATTCTTAAGTATCCTAAGGCAACAGCCCTACTTGCCATAGCAACACTGTAAAATCCCGGTGCCTTAGACCCCATGGAGTGTTTTTATTTGCTGTGTCTTTAATTCAAACACATCTTACAGGCATTTTGTATTAATATTAATACAAAGTAAATTAATAAATAAACTTTTTAAAAACTGTAGATTCATTGTGTTGGATATAATTTTATCAAAGTATATACAAATAAACAAAGGAAGTAGAAAAGAGATCATAAGGAAAGAAAACAACTCTGGGGAACATTGTCGAGAGGTGGTTTTTAAGAGGTCCAGGGGAATGATTGAAGCTTCTCATATAAAGAAGGAAACAGCACATGTGGATGAACTCTGTATAAAAGTTCAAAACATCCTCAGAAAACATATTTCCATAAAGGAATATAGTGATTGGGTGCACTTTCATATACTTTCTCTTTTTACAAACTCAGTAAATGGAAATGTGGGTTTAGTAAATATTTTTACCCCTAATACCCTTTAATTTGTAAGAAAGATGTTATGTGAGTGCAGATTGCCAGACATTGTAACCAGTATTTGACATTTCATCTCATTAGAACTTTTCATTTGTGACCTCTCACCATTCTCTCTGGCTAGTAGAAGGAATATATAAGATCCTTATAACCCAGATTAGTGCTTCTCAGGTTATTTGATGTGAGAGATTAGCATTCCTTCTCTCTCTCCCCCCCCCCCCCCGACAATGTGCCAGGGACTAATGTCATATTTGTGCCCACTGGGTAGACCTGTTCATATCATTTCAGTAAACTACCGGAAGAGAGGCAACTGATGGCACCAGTCCATGGACCAGAACATTTGAGTAGCACTGATTTGGGTGGTTATAGTCTCAGTAAACAAAGATAGTAATAAGATACCACATCTTTTTAATGTTTGTTTTGTCATCTTGATTACAGGTAATATGATTTCCAAGGGTTAGGACACTATGGTACTATTTCTCCCATAGCCTTCCAGCACTGATGACACATTTTTAAGTTACTTTTAAAATCACTTCCACCTTAGCTGAAGTCTAGCAAAAGGCTGGAGAAGTTTAAAGTTGTGCCATTTCACTTCTAATTACAGTTGACCCTCCGCATCTGTGGCTTTGACTTTTGCAATTTAATATATTATTTCTAGGAATTTTTAGGTCCTTTAGCCTGACTCTCTGGTCAAATTTTTTTATTTGTGGTTTTCCCACTTTTCACAAGATCCCTGGGTCCCTAACCCTGGAGAATGTGGAGGGCCCATTGTATAGACCAGGGGTAGGCAACCTAAGGCCCGGGGGCTGGATGCAGCCCCCCGAGGCCTTTGGACCGGCCCCAGGCTGGTCCTGCCACCGCCCACCATGATGATATTGATTATTGTTGTTATTACTTGTTCTTGGGGTTTTCTTGGCAAAATCTCCACAGGGGTTTTGCCATGGCTTTTCTGGGGCTGAGAGAGTGTGCATGCATTTTTTTAAATTTTTTTAAAAATATATTTTTATTTATTTATTTATTTATTTATTTATTTTGGGTGCTTCGGCCCCCCAATTGTCTGAGGAACAGCAATCCGGCCCCCAGCTCAAAAAGGTTGCCTACACCTGGTATAGACCATGTAAACAGATCTCCCATAAAGAGCCAGTCTGGTGTACTGGTTTGAGCACCTTACTAGGGCTGCATCTGCACGACAAGAGATAATCAGGTCTGACACTTTTAACTGCCATGGCCCAATACTGTGGAATTCTAGGAACTGTACTTTGTTGTGACATGGCACTGAGCCATGGCAGTTAAAAGTGGTGTCAAACCTGACCATTTCTACTGTATGGAAGCAGCCAAGGACTCTAGGAGACCAGGGTTTGAATCTCTGCTCAGCCATGGAAACCCACTGAGTGAGCTTCAGCAAGTCACACACACTCATTCTCAGAGAAAGGCAAAGTCAAACCCCCTGAACAAATCTTGCCAAGAAAACCCCATCTTGGGGGCTGTGTAAGTTGGAAAGGAAGGCAGAGGACAGCTGCTCAATGAGTCTTCCAAGCAGCCACTTTTAAGTGCAGTGGCCCCATCTTATGGAAAGCTGACATTTGTAGTTTTACAAGCCGCCTCTGCTAAAGAGTGCTGTTGCCAGACAAAAACCCCACAAATCCCAGGATTCTATAGGATGGAGCTATGGCAGTTAAAAGTGGTGTCAAGTGTGGTTTGTTTGTTTGTTTTGCAGTGCAAATGTACTCTGTGTACAAAAACGAGGAAGAAATTAAAATGTGTTAGAAAAGGAACTTTGCTTGAAGGCTCCAAGGTGCCTCCAAAAAGCCACGGCGCTTCCCATCCTGGAGAAGAGACTGTTAAGAGGTGCTATTAAGAGGTGATATGATAGCCCTGTTTAAGTATTTGAAGGGGTGTCATATTGAGGAGAGAGCAAGCTTGTTTTCTGCTGCTCCAGACACTAGGACCTGGAACAATGGATGCAAGCTCCAGGAAAAGAGATTCCACCTCAACATTAGGAGGAACTTCCTGACAGTGAGGGCTGTCTTGGCACTGGAATATGTTGCCCTGGAGAGTGGCGGAGTCTCCTCCTTTGGAGGTCTTTTAACAGAGGCTGGATGGCCTTCTCTTGGGGGTACTTTGATTAAGAGTTCCTGCATGGGAGGGGGTTGGAGTGGATGGCCCTTATGGTTCCTTCCAACTCTGAGTCCATGATCCCAGGCGTCGTCCTCCTCTTCCAGGACACATCCTCCATGTCCATCTTCTGCCCAGGAAGAATGTCAAAGCGTCCTCAGTTCTGAGCATGACTTAGAAAAAAGGATTTACATTTCTATTATTTGGTCAGCTCCTTTTCCATTTTTCTTCAATGCCCTCCACTTCGCAGTGCCTTCACTGCCTTGGGACCAAGTGTTATCCGCCGCCTCAAAGGTCCAAAACACACAGCAGCAGAAATAACCCAGTTTGAGACCGCTTTAACTGCCCTGGCTCAGTGCTGTTAGGGAATCCTGTTTTTATTGTGGCACCAGAGCTCTCTCTGGGCCAGAAATAATCCAGTTTGAGTCTACTTTAACTGTCCTGACTCGGTGCTAGGGAATCATGGGAACTGTAGTT